GTGTGCTGTCACAGTATGGGGAGAGCAATTAGGGTCACATAACAATGTATGTATAAATTTTTGTATGGGAGACTAACTTGAAATGTAAACTTCATCTAAACTACAACAATAAAAAATAAAGTGCTATCAAGGATCCAGCAGGATGATGTCATGGAACAGAATGTAATGACGTCAAATGGCAGGCCGGGGATCTCAATGGACAGGCTGGGGGACATCACCGAATAATCAGAGTTGATGTCATAGGATGTGTGGGTGATGACAAGTCAGATAGACTGAGATCACAGGATAGGTAATTTCACACACAGGTGGGCTGACAGAAAATAAACAATTGTCACAAAGTTTCTGTTTGATGCTTCAAAATGCATGCTGGGAAAACACAGGGCTTTGGTGACTTCCTAATGCTATTTTCACAGGGATGCTCTCGAGGCTTGGTATTGGCAGGAGGCCCAGGTGTCACTTACTGAGGAATGTCTGCTACTCTCTTCTCAGGTGGGAGGACCTTGGGAAGCCATTGGGAAAGGCCAGGGGTCTGTGGAGGGTCCCTGCAGAGCACAGAAAGCCCTGGGAGTGCTGGTCGAGTCCTCCATGGCCTCCTCAGATCCCCTGCCTGGACCCCCTGCCCAAGCCCGAGTGCCCAGGCAGCTCAGGCCATCCTGGGGTTGAGGAAGTCGCCCAATCGCGGCCCCAATCCCGGGGTCCCCTCCCTTTCCCCAGGCTGTGGAAACCCACGAGTGCCCCCCAGTGGCCACCACCACTTCCTCTACTGTGAAGGCTTGTCTCCCGGTTCTGCTGGGGGAGGGAGGTCGTCCAGGATAAGCTACTGCCTGAGCCTCCCGTGCCCCGGGCGGGCGCTGGAACAGGGTCTAGGTGGGCTCTGGTCACAGCTGGGCTGCCGGCAGTCCCATGCCAAGACCAGACAGGCAGGCAATTCAGATTGAGACAGCGGCTGGCGGAGCTGTGTTCTTGGCCATTCTTTCCCTCATCGGCTGTTGGAGCAGATGGGCTCACTGAACCCTGTTCCACCTTGCTGTTCTCACCTGTAAAATGGGGCTCCCCTGTGTTACTGGGAAGATGAAGTGTGAATCTATTCTTAAAGCATGTTAATGGTGCCTGACACATAGTGAGCACCCAATACTTATGTCAGCTACAGTATTGTCATTGTCCCAGGGAAGTAGGTAGGAGGGGGACTGAGGCCGGGAGAAGCTGCAGCCCCCACAGCACCTCCTGCCCCTGTCTGAGAGCCCTCTAGGCCATCTCAGATGCCTGCCAGAGAGGGATGGGTGCCCCTACCCTAGGGGACCCTACCCCAGGGAGCCCCCATCCAGGGGGACCCCACCACAGTGGCCTCACCCCAGGGGGCCCTCACCCTGAGATCCCCACCCCAGGAGTCCCTGCTTCAGGGATTCCCCAGCCCCAAGGGACCCCACCCCAGGGAACCCCACCCCAGAACCTCCAAGGCCTGCCTTTCGGCTGCCCCAGCACAAGCCAAGGGCCTATCTAGGCCAAAGGAAGTTGAGCTTCCTGGGGGCCTTCATCTGCTGTGCCCACCTGTCCTTCCCTCAGGGATGCACCTGGCTGTCTGTGTCACCATATCTTTCTGGGTCTCTGCCTCTGCCCTTGTCTCTCTGGCTGTCCCTCCTTGCTCTCATATCTGGACTTGGGAACCCTTGGGTCCCTCCTGGTTCCCTGGCTCTGAGTAGTGAGGACAGGTGTGGGCTGCAGTGGATCATGGGGCTGAAATCTGCTAAGGTCGATAGTCTTTTCCAGAGGCAACCACAAGAGGACCTTCCACCCACATATCCACACTGTGTCCTTGCCATGGCTCCCTGGCGTGGTGGGGGCTTTGTCACCTCCTGTTATGTGGGCATCAAGCATGGAGTGCAGTGGCAGTGCACAATGGCACTTCCGAGGCTACATCTTGAATGTGCATGTTGCCTTGCTGTCCTGGGACAGTCACTCTGGGAACCAGTGGCCATGCTGTGAGGAAGCCCAAGCAGGCACATGGGGAGGGGCCACAGAGAGCTGCATGGGAGTGCTGTGGCAAGAGCTGGCCAACTCAGCTGGCAGATGAATCCAGCTGCTGAGCCATTCCCCTTTAAGTCTTCCCAGCCCAGGCCCCAGACATGGTGGAACTGAGACCAGTCTTCTCTGCAACAACTCCCGTTGTTGAGTCACAGAATAAAGTGGTTGTTTGCTCTTATGGATTGAATTGTGTCCCCTAAAAATGTGTGTCAACTTGGCTAGGCCGTAATTCCCAGTACTGTGTGATTGTCCAACATTTTGTCATCTGATGTGATTTTCCTATGTGCTGCAAATCCTGCCTCTATGATGTTAATGAGGCAGGATTAGAGGCAGTTATGTTAATGAGGCAGGACTAAATCTATAAGATTAGGTTGTATCTTGAGTCAATCTCTTTTTGAGACGTAAAAGAGAGAAGCGAGCAGAGAGCAGCGGGTGCATGTCCTTTGGACCTGGAGTCCCTGCGCTGAGAAGCTCCTACACCAGGGCAAGATTGATGACAAGGGCCTTTCCCCAAAGCCGACAGAGAGAGAAAGCCCTCCCTTGGAGCTAGCACCCTGAATTTGAATTTCTAACCTCCTAGACTGTGAGGGAGTAAATCTCTCTTTGTTAAAGCGATTCACTTGTGGTATTTCTGTTATAGCAGCACTAGATAACTAAGACATTTGCCTTACATTTGGGGGCAGTTCGTTATGCAGCAGTAGTAACAGAATACCTGGGATGGACTGAGGTCACTGTCCCCACATCCTCCTTCCCTTCTCTAGCATTTCCAGGGCTTCACAGCCCTGACCTTCCACTGCTGAGTGCTTCTTGGGAGCCACAAGGGCCAGCCCGTCCTCTAGGCCCAGGCTGAAGTGGGCCACTCCTGGATGGCAGTGTCCCAGGGACCTCTCTAGGGGTACTGCTCACAGCAGAGGGAGAGGCTGGAGCAAGACAGCCAAGCTCTCACCTTTTTGTGAAGGTCTAGTGGAGAAAGATGGGGGCATTTTCAGCCCCATACATGGGGGCTTCAGCCTTGTGGGCATCTCCTCACCTCTGGCAGCTGTGACAGCAGTCCACACCTCAACATTTAGTGCATGTCCCTTGGGGCCCCACCCCTGCCCTTGGGCACCA